TATTATGTTTTTGTTATTGTCAACATATTCCATAAAAACCAACAATGTATTCTCTCAGCACTTTTCTACTTCCCCAGCTCGCTGTGGCTCTCGGCCCCTCTGACCATTTGTACCTATTTAAATGTAAAGAGGTTTCTATTTCATTAAGCAAAAGGCTAAATAATCTCTGGGCACTGTAGTTTTTAACCAGTACATAGTGTATTTTTCATTTTCAGTTGCGGGTGGAACTGTAAACTACAGTCTCCATAGTGACAAACTTTGGTGCGTACAGCTGCGTTATTGTGTTTGATTTCTCTCTTTGTGTGTGTGTGTATGTGGTCCGTGTGTTTCAGACAGGTTTGTGAAGACCAAGAGAAGAACAGCCACGGGGGGACGGTTCAGGTTGCTACGCTGGTGACTCCTCTCTGACCTTCGACCTTCGCACGGACCCTTCAGAATCTTTTGAACCTTCGTTGTCATGGCTGCACCTGCGGAGAGCCGGAGAGACTTTCCCGCCCACCCTGTCAGAACTCTGAGCATCTCCACGGTAACCAGAGACCGCCCACCCTCCGACATTGTGCTCCACTATTGGACCAAACACTCCCCCAGCCCTTCAATCAGGATGTGAATTGCTGACTGTAACTTCTCTTTCTCCCTCCCACCTTCTTACTTATCGTCTCTCACACCTGCATCATTTAGTTCATCTCAGTTTTCATCAGTATTCCCGTCTACCTCCTTTTAGTTTTCTTAAAAGGAAGGAGTCTACATTTTGGGAAATTTGCTTCATTGCCTTTTGTGTTCTAATTGAACAAATTACACTATGAAAAGTTAGCTTTGGTAGGTTTAATTTTGGATCAAGCCTTTTTCCCTCTCTTCCAGTCTTTATGCTAAGCTAAGCTAACCGCCTCCTGGGCCCAGCTTGATACTTAGACATGAGGTGTCGACTTTCTCATCAAACTCTTGGCAAGAAAACAATTTCCCCAAACTGCTGAATAATTCCTTTAACCACAGACACATTTAAAACCTTCTGTTGCTACAGTACGCTTCTTTCTTCACCCACCTGCTCTGCTTGTCTGTTTCAAACACTCACAGTCGACTGACTACCCACCCTCGTCTCACTCCTTGTACCGTATGCCTGGTTCACTCCTTTCTTACACTCTCGGCCAAATTGCATTTCATCAGCTTACCGCCGCTCCTGTCCTCCTTCCCTCCCTTCACTGCATTGTTTACATCCCATCATTCTATCTGTTCCTACTCATCTACTTACCTGTCCCCCTGTCCGTCTCTTGACGCAGCTCTCTGCCTTTCTAAATCCCTCCCCTATCTCCCTACAGCATCTGACGCACTGTACAGTGTTTCTGTATATAGAGATTGACGCATGTTTTCTCAAACAGAATATCAGAGTATTTCATTATGAAGAGATATGTATATTAAAGTAGAAATCATATCCAGCATCTGTTTCATGCTCTGCTGTATTATTATCATGTTAAACTACAATACACTGGCAACTTGTAAGCAGTATAGATGGATAGTACTGTTTGCAGCAATTAAGTTTCTTTGTATGTGGGACAAGCTGATGTGGACTACATTATGGACTAACACGTTTATCTGTTTTTATCATTGTTCAAGCTCACAGATTGAAAAAAACAGACCGAGGCAGCCTGAAATATCCTGAGCATACGTTTGGCTTTCTGCTATAGTTTATTTTTAATCATCTGGAGTGTGAACGTTACTTTTAATTTACAGTGGCACATTCAGCACTCACCATTTAGTTAATGATGTGACAGTGTAACACACTTCTTTATCCAAAGGATCCTAATTATGACTAACGTCTCAAATTTATAAATGTTGCCTGTTTACATGAATACCTCACTGACCCGCTGTGGGGTAATACTAACTGAATGCATTTCAAGTTTTAGCTGTGTTATGAAACTATCTGTCGTGTGTTTGATTTGTATTTGTCTCCAAAGATACTTTATGTCTCCTTTAAAACAAGCACATAAAGCTGACAACAAATCACTTAAATCTGGGAATTGTTTGAAGGTTTAGATTTGGAGATATATTTTACGTTGGTGTAATTAAGCATTACAACATGTTGTTTATGTTTTTTTTTTGTTTTTTTTTAATGTTTCCCCCTTAAAAATTATTAATTCAACTTTTAAATCAAGCACACTTCAAAACATTTCACATTAGATTAGATCTGATTGTGGCTTTGGCCGCTCCACGTCAGTTTGCTGTCTTGTGTTTATGTCATCAAGTCCTTTGTTTATGTATGTCAGTTTTTCTCTTGTCATTATGAATATCATGGATTTTTAATTTATTGTGTATGATAAAGCATACATTTTTAAAATAAAAACTAGTACAAATATAGCACTGTCTTTGAAAAGCATTTTTTGTTTATTCAGTCACCGTTTTTGGAGATGGTCTATTGCGTTCTTGATGTTTTCTTCAAAGTGATTTAAATTTCTGAATAATTTGTGTAATTGTAGTGTGGAAATGAACAGATAACAGTGAACAGACAGGCGGAAAAGTGATTTATTAAAAACTTCGCACCACACCATTTAACCTCAACAGTCTTTTCCTCTAAACCATATAAAATATGTACAGACAGTATGTTAAAAGTCTAAAATATAAACATGAAAACCTAAAGTATCAGTGAATTTTACAGTATTTTGTCATTATTATACCCTGTCTGTCACCAGTATATTAGATCAATTAGATTGTAACAGCAGAAAATCAGACTCTACACTGTGTTAACACTTAAAATAACTATTTGTAAGTGTGGTGAGTTTCCCGGCCTAAACTAATATTTAGGCTTGCCGTATGTCTTCTATTCAATACCAAGTAAACCTAGAAAAATGTGGCAAGTATAAAAATGTCTCATTAAAAGTAAAGTGTCTCTACAGTATTAAGAAGATTGTAACTATACAGTTTGGTCTATAATTAATGAAGAATACAGAGATTCTTCAGAGATTGTCAAAGTTCACCACCTCTAAAAAAAAACAACATTTAAATAGTTAAAGTAAAATAATATTGCACAAGATTTTACATCTGTTCCTGGAACTATACTGCAATATAACTTAAACACTGGAAAACTAAACAAAAGCAAATAATGTAATACTGAACTCAGAGCTGCAACAACAAAACAAAGATTTACAAAAAAAGTCCAAATGTAAGCACAGACCTCAAACTGCCCCGTCTTTTCTCTGTACAATATTCACATCAATAATTATAGTTGTAAAGGGAGAAAAGTCTTTATGGCACAGAGCTGATTTTATCATGATCGCTGACACAAGGAAACCAAAAAGGGTCTAAATTCTGATGGTTCAGATATTGAAACCCAATATCCTGAAAAGACCAGATCCATTACACAAAGTCAAAGTCAATCTTTGTCTTCTTGTGTGAGCACAAAAAAAATGTTTCACGTTCAATACATTCTCATTAACATACAGAGATTCAACAGATGAATGAATTACATAAGAACCTAAATAGTTGGCAAGGTATTCTGTACAAATATTATACAGAAAGGTGACTAATAATCAAAGTGCTGTTTTGTTTGGTCTACTTTAGAGTGTTATTATGTATTTATTATCAGCTTAATGTCCATTGTTGTTGTGGGTCCACAATTGGCTCTAAAGCACATTCAGTATCAATAATGATAAAGAAAGTTGGACTCAACAATAAACCTGTGTTTGTTATGCTTTGAAAATAACCAATAATCAGCTGTGTGTTATTTTTAAATGGAAATGTATAACAGAAGTACACTATTCACAGTCATACAGTGTTTTTTAAGTCACATACATCTATTTTCACACTGTAAAAGCATCACATTGATTTGTTACTGTATATTAACACAACTAAACAACATTACATAACTATTTTAAAACAATAACACGTAAAAGTGTCAAGAGAAAATTCAACCGACACGTCACACAACTGTGACTTCACACAGAGTTTGACTGTGAGTGTGATTCACTATTTATTCTAAACCAAGTAAGTTGGGATCAACCCCTAAACCATTACTCAAACCATTAAATCGACAAGAACCAGTTCACAGCACTGAGTGACCTGAAAATCTGTAAACAGACCTAGCTCTGTATGTCCATCAATACTTCAAAGAAAAATGCCTATTCACATCGAAAGCTGCATAAATCTGAGGAAAAACTTCAACTGACTGTTGATTGAACCATCTTGTTGTGCTTACTATGATTTTTTTGGAATACGAACAACTTGATTGTGTGTGTGTTGTTTTTTGTCTATATGTGGATGTACATTCTTCATTTGATCTCAGATCTAAGAAGGCGGCTGACTCGATTCAGACATGCTGCCATGTACCCCTTTGTGAATTACACTGATCCCTGTGTAAGGAATAAGGGCACATTTCATATGGCCTGTGTTTAAAGGGACTGCATCAAAGTACAGCTATTAAAATGCATTTAAAATATCTATACAATATATGTATCCATTCATTATATATTTACTTTCAAATTATTTCTTTCAAGAGCCATTTCTACCCTGTAAAATGTTTCTTATTGTATATATTAACAATCAATATATATAAAAAACATTAAGCCACGATGTGAGTTTCAGAGTTCAAGGTTTTGTCAGTTTACATCCTGAATACGAGAGTGATACACATTCAGTCCCATGCTCTATTCTACATCTGGGTGTTTAAACCTCAGGGCTGATAGGCAATAATGGCTTTTACTTTGTATCTTTGTCTGGACTCAACCTGATGCAATTAATTCTGCTAAATGTGTGTGTGTGTGTGTGTGTGTGTGTCCTATCGGGAGCGAGCAGAGAAGCACCGCATGTACTCAGTGAGCCAGGGGTTGAATTCCGGTTGAACCAACTTTTTGGCCTTTTCCAGATCGACAGACTTGGCTCTCCGGCGCTCGGTCTTCTGGGTCAGCATCTGACGCTCTACCTCCCTTCTGGTCTTCGCACGAAGAGCTGACTCATGGATCTAGCAGGAAAACAAACATAACTGTCAGTTCGTGTTGATACTTGAGCGCAGTCACATACAGATCTAGAGAACGTCATTACCTCATTTGTCGAAGCTACAGGCCCAACATTGTGTGTCTTCCTGCCTGCGATGTCTGCATCCTTCTCTCCTGAACCGTACAGAGCGAAAGGATGTCTGCTGTCCTTGCTGTCCTCCACGGGCTGCCGCGTTGGGGCGGGCCTGACCCGCTGGGAGCGCCAGGTCTGCTTTGAGGATTTGGAGGGTTTACTCTGCTGTGGTCCGCCAGTTTCTTTCTCTACAAGTCGAAAAAATTCAAGCAGTGATAAAATACCAAGAGCAGAAAAGGCTGAAACAGGGGGTGGAAAGTCTGTTGAGTCAAATGTAGATATAGATAAATAGAGATATTGATAAAGATCAACTGAGTAATCCAGTGATCAGGTTGGTGTCTCCATTCATGATCCAATACTGAAAACAGCATTTGTACATCAACTGAACAAAACAATTTCTTTTTCCATGACATTTTTGTGACACCTCTATATAATAAGGGAGCGGTTTGGTAAAACTTTCATGATCTTTCATATGTTTATGATGTTTTGTTTATTTTTTTATCAACTGAGTCATGTTGCCTTAATGTTGGTTTTATTTATGTGCTGGACTCATAACCTGAAACACACCAGGGCAAAGTATTGTTTGAATTTATGTTACACTAGTGCCGATAAAATACCTGAGTTGGCCTGATACTATAATGAATTTTCTATATTTATGTTTTTGTCCAAAATGTTTGTTTTTCACTAAAAGAAGCCACAGAGATTTAAGAACTGCTCAAATGTTAAATGAAACACAAGTAGTTATACAAGAACTTCAGCTAAATAATATTGTCTAAAATTGGCATCATTAGTCAGCAAATATCAGATTAAAGAAAGAGTAAACAAGACTAAAATCTGACCAAGCATTTAATTTAACTCTTGACTCCTTTCTCATACTGAGTTGGTTTCAGTAGGTACAAAAAAGGACTGAGGTTTAATACCCAACCCTGTCTTATCCGTCCTTTTACTCACATTAAGCACGGTGTTCCAGGCTAGTGCTGACATTCAACATTACAATTTATATTTCATTAGTACAAGTATTTTTAAGGTTTGCAAAGAACCTAGAAGAAGCTGACAAACCCACTGATTGATGAAGAATGATACCTTTAGCAGTAATCAATGTAACCAGAATGAACACACAGTCATTTTGCTATACTAGGTTTTTACATTTCCTCTGCACGCAGCCTCTCTGTCATCAGCCGACAGCTCATCACAGAGCAGGGGGAGGATTTCATTTTCACCATGACTCCATCTCAGGGTGTATTTGACCTACCTTGCTCCCTGTGAGGGGCTGTTAACTGTTTACTGCCCCTGCTGCTGGCTCTCTGCTCCTCTCTCTCCTCCTCTGGCACTCTCGTCTCCCTGCCACCTTCAAGCTGTGAGCCTGAGAGGAGTGAAAGGTATCATATGGTAAAGTAGAGTAACAGCATACCTCCCAATGAGTCTGACAAACACATCTATAGCTCATGTTTTACCGTGGACAGCAGACACATTCGCCTCCTCTTCCTCCTCTCGAAGGGGAAGCCTGGGTACAGTCAGTGTGTCTCTGTCCCCCTTCGTCCCCTCACACTCCTCCAGCTCTGCCTCAGCCCTGTCTCTGCTGGTCTCAGGCCGCACCTGGTTCTTACTGGGAGGAAGAGGACTCCTTCCTCCGGAGTCTGAATCCGTGTCGGAGCCACCCCAGAACCAGGGGTTGTGTGTGTGCTCCAGCAGCCTCCGGGTCAGCCTGTATTTCAGCATCTCCTCATAACACTGAGCATAGGTCTCCCATTTGGGGTCTTTGAATTTCTTCATGTACTCCGAGCGGATCCTCTTGGTCACCATCTTTCTGCTGTGAGATTTAACAATAACACCGCAGAGCTGAACAACTATCAAAAGCTAGCGTTGTTACACACGAGTAGTATACAATATGTAATGTCTACTACACTTGGCGGTATAAGCCTAAACAGAAGCCATGCGGAACACTGGTTATGTTTAGTCTTACTTTAAAGGTTGGTGTCACCGCCAGACATTTAAACCATAATGTGACCCAGTTCAAACCAATGGCAGAGCAGCTGGAGGCTTCAACAACCCGCCTACTTCCTCCTCCACCCGGGGTTTAGAGCCTCCGGAGATAAAAGTCTCGTTTTTAAAATAAACTACAAACTCTGTAAACTCTGTAAACCCCAGTCGTCGTTTTATTGTATATGTTATAAAATAAATGTGGCCTCAGGTGAGGATGTGATCGACCGTCGGTTACAACGCCACCAGCAGAAATTTCTTGAACGCGATGACGTAGGCGGCGTCCCCTCCTCTGATTGGCTGCAGCGACGTAAACGACTGCTGAATACTCCACATTAAAGGTCAGTAGTGATCGCTGTCTGAAAGCCGAAAACACGCCAGGTTTCACAACGTGTGTGACAAATCATTACGACCGTATCTCCTTTTGTATGTGCTAAAATACGATGTGTTTGTATCCCGACGCGTTGCGATAAACTTTTATTATTAAATCGTCTTCTCGGACTGTGTTATGCCACTAGGCCTATAACAAATTCCTGTGTAATATTCAGCGTTAATCAAATGCCTGTTGCTGCACATTAACATGACAAATGTGCCCGTGTTATTTATAGATGTATGTTAATCATATGGTAATATGGAGCACCGATAATCGCCTGTCAGCGCTGGCAGATATAGCCTAAACGTAAAATCTCTCTGACAATCCCACCAATTCAATCATCTACAACAGAGCAAGGCTTGACAGCAGAAATGCAAGGCTGTAAGAGTCTAATTTTGTGTACAGTAAATATACTTACACTGGAGTCGGATTTCACGGAAGCAGAGCAGAACAGATGGCTGCGGTAATCACAGACTGCGTCTCTTAGCTCCGCCCGCTTGAAGACGTTTTTAAAAAGCCAAACACACCCGCAACAGGTGGCCCCGGGCCGGGGTGTCAGGGAGTTATGAGACATTTGGCTGATAATGATCTCTATCAGATGATAAAAGAGGATTACAACACACTTTGATTTATTGTATCTGGACACAATGCGCAGACTCAACACATAAAGGAGCTTAAATGAGTTGTTGTTAATCAGGCTGTAGTGCTTTACTTGACCACTAATTACTCATCAAAAATGAACTGAATGTTTTTCTTGTGTGTGCCTACCTGTACCTGTACTCGAGAGGTTGATAAATTAAAATGTGCCTGTGTAAGAAAAAGTGTGAAGGGTGTCTTATTATAGTCTACACAACAGGTCAGTGGGGTGATGTGAATGATGTGGGCAGTGGGCACAGGGAGGAGCACGCCCCTTTGTCTCTTTAAGCCCAGACCCAAAGCCCAGACCCAGATAACCTGCTGAGCCTCTATGCATATAAGGTAGGGCTGTGGAGATGCCCCACGGGGTCTGGTTTTGTCTAAAGATGGTCTGGGGGCCGGGGCTGCGCAAATGGTGGTGCAGGGCAGCTCAACGGGATTCAGAGCCGGGTGTCGGGTGTCCAATGCTACTGATCCGCAAGGTCTAAAAAGCGGAGCTGTTGCTGCTGCCCAGGCACATTCCTGGCAAGTCAAACTCCGACTGTCAGAGCTGGAAGGCGTGTCTTTGATTACCTCTGTCACCCAGCAGTCCCCCCAACCGGCAGTGGTTGGTGGGACACAAGAGAGAGACACCCTGTCTCCCTCCTTGTCACCCATCCAACTTGATCCCGGGAGCCGAGCCAACACCCCCTGTCCTCTGTGAACCTCCCCTTGTATGTGATCAGTTGATTGGTTTATGGGACAGCTGAAGTGTGTGTCATGGGTATGTTTAATTGCTGAGTCAATTAAGCTTCTCCTGAGCTTAATTGTTATGTTGATTTTGGTTAATTTTCCTGATATCCCCCAGTTCTTAAGATTTGAGAGGTCTAAATATAGATTTTTTTAAGCTTAAATTGTATTTGTGTATTTGCTTGGTTATGAAAAGAAATGTGCACCTTTTAAATAATAGAAATCTTCCCCATTCCAGTATTTCTAGTGTAATTTTTACCAAAGCTTGTGTTTTTCATTCTCTCCCTCTATCAGAAAAACAAGGCCGGGGTCAGAAATACCAAATAATGGACTTTAATAAATTATCAATATGTATATACACTTACATTCACATGTGTTGGGCAACATGTTGTTGTTATTTTTTTTTATTAAAGTTTTTTAGGTGGATGCATGGTTCAGTGGTGTTTTCACAGCCTCTCTCCGTGCAACACAGACAACAAACAGCCATAAAATATGCACATTTTTAAAGGATAACAACATGCATATGAATGTCAACAGCGCAGTCCATTGACAGCAGAGTGTTGGTGTGCCGCAGAGGTTGATCCTGCTTCTCGCTTGAACTCCAAACAGCTGGTGGTGTAAATGATGGAGATGAAGGAGAAGCTGGAGAAGAAGGTGGAAGATTTAGAAGCACTTCCTGTGGACAATGCTGGGGCCTGCCTCGTCGTACTCCTGCTTGGAGATCCACATCTGCTGGAAGGTGGACAGGGAAGCCAGGATAGAGCCACCGATCCAGACGGAGTACTTCCTCTCGGGTGGGGCAATGATCTGGAGGAGAAGGAGAACTCGATCAGTAAAGTGCCACTCCTTAATATTCACATCATCTGTCCAGTAGATTTCTGTGCGTAATTATCGATTCATGCGTAAAATATTTCAAGTTGGGGATGAATTGCGTTTTTTTTGTTTTCATAATAAGTACCTTGATCTTCATGGTGCTGGGGGCCAGAGCAGTGATCTCCTTCTGCATACGGTCAGCAATACCAGGGTACATGGTGGTACCACCGGAGAGCACATTGTTGGCGTACAGATCCTTACGGATGTCAATGTCGCACTTCATGATGCTGTTGTAGGCGGTCTCATGGATACCAGCAGACTCCATACCTGGTCAGGTGAGAGAGACAAGTGTTAAGAGGGGAAGGGGTTTCCAGCTTGGCACAATCTTACTTGTGCTGTTCGATAATGTGAGAAAATGAAGGATTATCTGGCGTACCGATGAAGGAAGGCTGGAAGAGGGTCTCGGGACAACGGAACCTCTCGTTTCCGATGGTGATGACCTGTCCGTCGGGAAGCTCGTAGCTCTTCTCCAGGGAAGAGGAGGAGGCGGCGGTGGCCATCTCATTCTCGAAGTCCAGAGCCACATAGCAAAGCTTCTCCTTGATGTCGCGCACGATCTCACGCTCGGCTGTAGGGAGGCAAGTTGATGAGATATTAGTAAGAGTGACAAACAGCCGAGACTAAAGACACAGTGCGTAATGGCAAAACTAATTAAGTGGGATGAACTAAAGTGACTCAAAATCACAGAAATGTCTGGAGCTGCTTATCTTAAACATACATGTACTTTAATAAATAATAAATAAAATCCCTAATTTTCAGTAGGCACACGGGCAGTAATAGCTTAAACAAGCCGTGTCCACTATTATATTAAATCAACGTTTGTAGCCTTTGTCTTTGCATCTGTCTCTAAATGGTGCGTTAATCTTTGTTGTTGTTGGTCAGATTTCTGTCAGATTTAGTTATGTTTGTGAAATTGTTTTAAAAACTGCCAGTAAAAGTAAGTTATGATGGTAATTTAGGTTCTACTTTGCCATAAAGTGTCTGCTTAAAGGTGGTCTATGCTTCTTTCTTTCTTCCAGGTGCTTTGTAAGTAGAGCTGGTCAGGTTTCTCACCGGTGGTCACGAAGGAGTAGCCACGCTCAGTCAGGATCTTCATCAGGTAGTCGGTCAGATCGCGACCAGCCAGGTCCAGACGCATGATGGCGTGGGGCAGGGCGTAACCCTCATAGACTGGGACGTTGTGGGTCACACCATCACCAGCATCCAGCACAATACCTGGAGAGGGGCAAGGCGAGAGTTTAGTAAAGTCCAGGCGAGAAAAGGCGCTCAAATATTTATGTTTTGTGCGTAAAATTGTGGCTAAAGTGGGTGTATGAAGGATGATTACAGGCACACACTAAGTGTATATATAATACGTGCCATAAAATAACATAAACAGTCCCAGAAAGACTGGTCGACTGTGCGTAAAAGTTGTGCGCAAATTTGCCACAACGGAGCATTCATAGCTCAGTAAATACTATGTGTTGCGATTGTTATATACTTTTATCAGTTACATTGGTCGGTTCCATTATAATCTACAATAAAATAATTTGTCTCTCTGCATTATTTATGTTTAGAAAGCTGTTTCTGTGTTATGAGTAGCAGCTGTTTGTTGCTGTTTGTTGCTGTCAGTCTTACCAGTGGTACGGCCGGAAGCGTACAGGGACAGCACAGCCTGGATGGCCACATACATGGCGGGGACGTTGAAGGTCTCAAACATGATCTGGGTCATCTTCTCTCTGTTGGCCTTGGGGTTCAGGGGGGCTTCAGTGAGCAGGGTGGGGTGCTCCTCGGGGGCCACTCTCAGCTCATTGTAGAAGGTGTGATGCCAGATCTTCTCCATGTCGTCCCAGTTGGTGATGATGCCGTGCTCAATGGGGTACTTCAGAGTCAGGATACCCCTCTTGCTCTGGGCCTCGTCGCCGACGTAGGAGTCCTTCTGACCCATACCGACCATGACACCCTGAAGGGGGGAGAGAGGGCAAGATAATGGAGAGGTTACAAATAATCCAAACAGAGATATGACCTTTTTCTGGCCAGATTAAAGTCTTTACCGTGTGGCACAAAAGGCACGTTGACCATTGCGTGAATGTGTCAAATAACAGCGTGGGTCACAGAGACAGACAGAGAGCCATTGTGTGACTGTCAGTTCATCTGAGACTAATTTAGTCTCAGAGTTAAAGGCCACATTGCTGCTGTTAAAATTAGCCAAAATGACATAGCTCAAGATACCCAATGCCACGCTGTTATCACATACAGTTTCTAATTGCATAAAACAGCCCAATTCTAACACTACAATATTAGAATCTCGGTTAAATATATTTTTCAGTCCAGCAGAATTACTCTGCCAAAATAATGTACCCTTTTTATTCATCCAATTCATAATATTCAATTTGTAAAGATTAGTGTAAATTGTTATCCTCTGAATTGGATAAGGAATTGGCTGAGGTGAAATTATTACTAGAATTGTGATTTTTTTTTTTTTTAGATCCTCCAATTAGCTTCTCTTATTATTTTCTCTGCTATTTACCTGGTGACGGGGGCGGCCAACAATGGAGGGGAACACGGCCCTGGGGGCATCGTCTCCGGCGAAGCCAGCCTTCACCAGGCCGGAGCCGTTGTCGCACACAAGGGCGGTAGTCTCATCGTCGTCACACATGTTGAGTTCTGTAAAAGAGAGGAGGGGAAGAAAAGGAGTTCAGATCCACATTGCGATACATACTCTTTGTGGCATAAATGATTTTGGTTCGCAGCTTTTGTTTCCTGTAAGCTCACATTAGGACTCTTAATATTAAAGACTAAAAAACTTTTTGAACTTCCCTCGGGATAAATAAAGTATCTATCTATCTATCTATCTAAAAAGACTGAATTGTAACATTTACTGGAGCATGATCAGGTCCATGTCTTGCGCTAAATGTATCCATGGCGCACTGACACCAGGCCATTACGCATTACAAACGCCTGTACAAACCTATAAAATCAACAATATGGAACTAAACTGCTGTTTTCTTTCAGATATCTGGATTTGATGAGTCTCGACTAATATATCCTTTATATTATTCTAATTTGGTGAGAGTACATCTATGCGAATTCTTAAGAAATATCTAAGGTGTTCTAAAGTTCAGGTGCATCTCTCTGTCACAGCCTCTCTCAGGTAAACTGCCCT